ACATGAGAAAGAAAATACGTTTGTATTTTTATTTGGCATTAATTGGCAATGAGGTATTGTGTATCTATATACAATCAGCTATACATGCTGCCCAAATAGCACTAAGGGAGATTACCGGTTAATCTAAGGCAAAAAATTCCCAAGTGAATATAGATTTCACAGGTGTGACTATAGTTAGGAAATGGTTTTCCTCTGAATGTTATAAAATTAAAGTTAGATATATCAGCTGCATAAAGATTAGATTGAGAATTAAATGTGATAGTTTCAGCTGTAACAGTGAATTTATGCAGTGGTTGTAGATGCACATGCATAGTTCCTTTCAGATAGTACATTTCACAAGGTTTGGATTTCATGGATGTTCATTGGTAGTATTTTCTACAAATAAGTAAAGTTGCAGTACTGATATTGTATCATTATATGATACTGCTTGAATTAGATTGCTGCCTGTGTAACAAGTGACACACAGAACTGAATGGTCATCTTTATGATATATTGCTTTTCTTGCCTCGCTGGCAGTGTCTTACAGTGAACGTAGTTTGTCTCCCATATGCGATATTTTCCTGGTATTCTCTTTGTTGTTGTTTGTCAGGGTTTTTTTTGTGCTGTCTCTCTGAACAGGGCTATTATAAAATGTTAATAAAATGCTTTTACCTATTTTTCCATAGACTCTGGTTTACAGAAAAATCAATAAAAAGTTAATGTCACGTATTTGGGTTTCTCTTCTGTGCTTATGCATAATAAAACTCAGTTTGCTTTCCTTTATAATACATGTGTACTCTGATTAACAGGTTTTCAAAGAAGTAGAACTTGAATGGAAATTCATAGTAAAATTCTCAAGAGTAATTAGTTTCTTTTACAACACATTTACAGGACCATTTCGCTTATCTGATTGTAAGGTACTCTTCAGCTTTTCAGGACACAAAAAGATGCTGTAGTATTATCAATATTTATTTGATCCACTTGTTGTTCAAAAAACATGTGCCCAGCAGTCTCAGTTTTGACACAAGAAATTTGGCAGGGGGAGATGTTCTTCATGTTTGGCTGTGCACATGAGAAAGCGTTACTGTTTAAATGAGAAAAGTAGGTGAACCACTTTGCACCACTCTTCCAAAGTGTGTACCTTTTTGTCCTAGGAGCCCTATGCCAGTATAAGAGGAAAGAGGAAGATAATACATATGAGGTGAAACCCTGCTTGAGTAGAGGTTCAGCAGCACAAACAGTTCTGAATTCAGAGAAATCAAGATGCACAAGTCAGTGAAGCCATCACAGTTCACATTATTTTCATATTAGTTTGCATAGCTTTCCTTTACTCTCAAAGCCATTCCCTAGCAGCAACAGAATATAGATGCGTTTAAAAATCAAAAGTGTTTTATATCTGTGTCCTGCCTGTCATAAAAATAACTTTTTGGTCCTAGAGATCTGTCATTTCTGAGCTGCTTTAAAATTTTGCTGTTTCTGTACATCACAGTGCTTGTTTTTTCTGAGTGTTGATACTATATTAGCAGCTGAGAACCCTGAATTATACCTTTGTCCAAGTAAAACTGAAAAAATGTAAGTTCTGTCTACTGTGACTTACTTCATTTCCTGTTAATAACTGATCAGATGGAGGGCCTCAGCAAATCCACAGCACGCGATGACCTAAACACTGCATTGTGATAGATAGGCAGGTAAATTCACATGCTTCAAGTTTTGTTGACTTTACAGATTTGAGAACTGCCGACCACTTTGCTTGTTGTTTTTGTTGTTCTTTTTCTTCTGTGAATATCAAACATAGGAAGTCTGGCAGTACAATACTGCATTTCCTTGTTGTCCTTCTTTTCCCTCATTGTATTGGTCAAAACAAGACACAAGATTGAAAAAGACATGAACTCAACCAACTGATTCTTAATCTCATTTCTGTGCTGTAAGGAGCCTGGTGTTGTATTTAGTACACAGCACGCATTGCTTTGAAAAAGCCTACAGGTCTGTACAGCCAAGAAAAGGACATCACTTGGCTATGGCAGAAGACCCTTTAATGCAGCAAGAGCAAAGTTGTGTGCTTGCAGAATATATTACTTCAAAAAGTGAGGACTTAATTTGTGAAAGAGCAAATAAAGTTTGTGTGTGAAAATAATTAACTCAAAGTCAGCAGGAGGTTGATGGCAGATCGAAGTAAAAACTTTAATCTTCAAATGCAGAGCTATCCCATACATAAAACCATGTGACTGTGTATTCAAACGTAATCGAAGTCTACCTCAACAAACAAAATTGCTGAAATTTTGCAACAAAATAATGTATTCAATTAAAACAAATATAAATGTTTACTCTTAAAGTATATTTTTTTGAGCATTTGTAAGATTTAGTTGTTAACAATTGGGAGTTAGTACTCTCAGGAGTAAGGTACTAAGGTCTTCGTGTCTCAAATGTTATTTGTTCCCAAGGGAAACAGCAGATGTGATGAAAAACAATGGAAGCCTGTTGTTTGAGGTAGAAAACTGTTAAGTAAATATTTTCACAGTTGACTGCAGGCTTTTTAGAATGGTCATTTGCTAGTTTGCAGAAGGCAGCAGAATCCCTGTAAGTCAAACTTGCATAGTGTAGCTTCTATTGAAGTTCTTCATTTATGAGAAAGCTTCACGGTGAGCAATTGAACATTTGCAGTATAATCTTTGGAACACTCAGCTAATAAATGGCACATGACCAAAGCTTATAATTTACAGACTACATTGCTCAATTTAGTCACGTTCTTACTATGCTTGTCATTCAAAACAACAGAGTTTAAAACCATTTAAGCCACAATAAATGTAAATTTTAGCTTTTTTTTTCATGAGCCTTAAAATTGGTTGAGTATGTACACCTTGAGTAAGTATAGGGACATGATGCAAAAAAAAAAAAAAAAAAAAAAAAGTATAGTTGCAGACCTGTAGGCATTATCGTTGTGATAAATTTCAAATAAATAAATCTTGTTTCATCCCTTGTAGGTCTAGATATTAAGACCTCAGCTGAGAATCATTCAAAATAGCAAATTTTTAAGTAAAACAAGGAGCAGCTAGTAAAATGGATAAAAAGAGATGTGTAAATGGATGGAGGAAAAGCATCAACCAGTAGCTCCAGGACGTTTGCTATGTTGTCATTTTAGGTGAACGCACTGCCGTGTCCAGTAGAGCCTGTCACCATGTATCACCTGTGTTGCTATGAATGCAGCTTGTGAGATTTCGGATGTTAAAGTGGTCACTACATTTTCCAAATCTAATTATCATTCTATGCTATGTTGTGTTTTTGATGTCATTTTAAGTCGTATTCAGGATAAACTGTTACGGAATATGGAGTGTGGATAGGTACATGAGGTATTTACAGAATGATAAAATATAGCTAGTTAGAAGAGGACACACAAGAATCAGAGTCCAACTTCTGGCTCCACAGCATTACTGAAAGTGCAATCTCAGTGGCTTGGGGCTGTGACCACTGTCCTGGGCAGCTGGTTCCATGCCCGCCGCCCTCTGGTGCAGACCCTTTTCCCTGACCCCAGCTGCCCCTCCCTGACACAGCTCCATGCCATTCTCTCGGGCCCTGTTGCTCAGCACTGCCCTCTGCCTCATGTGAGGAGCTGCAGCTGCCATGAGGCCTCTCCTCAGCTCATTTGCTCTGGACTGAGCAAACTCAGGGACCTCAGCTGCTGCTGTTGTATCTTCCTCTCTAGAACTTTCAGTATCTTTGTAGCCCACTTTTGGACACTTTGGAACAGTTTCATGTCTTTCTTATATTGTAGCAGCCAAATTGCACCCAGTGCTGGAGGTGAGACCATGCAGACGAGGGTGACCACCGCTCCCCTCACCCACTTGCAGTGCTGGGCCTGCTGCACCTCATGGTATGGCTGGACCTTCTGGCTGTCAGGGCACACTGCAGTCTCATGTTTTCCCCCAGAACTGCCTCACATCCTTTTCTGTGGGGCTGCTCTCCACCCTCTTGTCCCTCAGCCTGTATATACAGAGTTGCCCCATCCTAGCAGTACAATTGGACGCTTGCTCTTGTTAGACTTCATGCAGTTGGTGAATTGTGCAGCTCTCCAGTTTGCCAGTATCTTTTTGCAAGATCTCTCCTACCCTCAGAGGAGTCAACAGCACCTCCTGTTTTCACAGAATCACTGAATCACAGAACTGTAGGGATTGAAAGGGACCTCTAGAAATAATCAAATCTAATCCCCTGCTGAAGCAGGTGCCCTACATTAGGTCACACAAGTAGGCATCCAGGTGGGTCTTGAATATCTCCAGAGAAGAGACTCCACAACCTCTCTGCGCAGCCTGCTCCAGTGCTCTGTCACTCTGGCAGCAAATTTTTTCCTTGTGTTTGCATGGAACTTCCTGTGTTGCAGTTTTTACCCGTTGCCCCATTTTCTGTTGCTGAACACCACTGCACTGAACACCATCTACTTGACTCCCGCACTTCAAATATTTATAAACAGCGATGAGATATTTATAAACACTAGTGACAATTAGTGTTGCCCACAGACTTGCTTAGCATTCCTTTGAGTTCTTCATCCAAGTCATTTATGAGAACATTAAAGGGAACTGGCCCAAAACTGGAGGTCTGTGGAACCCCACTAGTGGGCGGCCACCAGCCTGATGTCACTGAGTTTCCTGTAAGCATTTAGCTTGGAGTTCTCACCTACTATGCTGAGTATTTTCACTGTGATGGAAGGAGAGCTGCATAGCATACGTGAGGAGTAAACACACATTACTGAAGAGGGCAGGTATTATATGTGTGGTGTAGCACGCAGGCTGGGAATAGAGAGCAAGAAGTGCTGTGGTTGTAGTTGGAGTCATCAAGGTTTCTTTCTTGTTTTTCTTCTCATCTTTCATTTCTTATAAAAACCATCAGGAGATTTGAACAGCTACCGCAGCTTCTAAATAAACCTACTGCCATACTCAAATATTTCTTTGTTGCCACAGGAGTTAAAAATTACTTGTTAATGAAAGCCGATTAATCATGTTAATATGAGCCACCCCTGCAGCCAAAGACTTTTGATCTGTCTGTATCTCTATCACCTGTTTTGATAGGCGCAGGGCCGCCCGGCCGGGCCTTACCCCGGGTGCCGGGAGGCGGAGCCGCTCTGCTCCCATGGCAACAGCGGAGGCCGCGCTGCGGCGGACGGGTGGCAGCCTGATCCATGGCCTCCCTGGCCGAGCCCCCCGGCTCACGGGCGCACTCTCGCTCCCCGGCCCTCGGTCCCTCTCGCTGCAGCGGAGAGCGGCGCAGGGCCGCCTCAGACGCCGTGCAGGTGAGCTGCCCGGAGCCCGGCCCCGCACGCATGTTATCCTGCGTCCGCGTGTCGTTTGCTGTTGGAATAAGGTGGCGCTTGCACATTTAGGGTCTAAGCACCTTGCAAGCGCGGTCTAACAGCCATGCCTAAGAAGTGTGACTTTTCCAGGAGACGCAGGTGGGGCCGGTGGATCTGAACCGCGCCATCAAGCTGCTGGAAGATGCAAGCTCCGTGAGTAAGGCCGAGAAAACGTTGTTTCTGCTGCACTGGCAATAACGAGGTGTAGAAAAGCATTTGACACAACCACGTTTGTACCTGCCCCCAGGAAACCACCTGCTTTGGTGGCTGGGGCTCCAGAGCACAAAGCTGAGCTAACTGTGCAATAGCGCTTCTTCTGAAGATAGTCATTTTAATGGAAAATGATACCTATGAGTTTTTTTGTCTGTTAAATATCCCTGTGTATCTTTACAGGGACACTTTTCCAAAAGAGACAAATGCTCACTCAGAAGCTAGATGTACAGTTACTGGTTTATCTGGAGTTTTAGACTGCTGAAGCCCATACCTGAAAAATGGAAGTATGTACAGACTTACTGAAAGTATGTCAGAAATTTATCCAACCCCCCAGGTTAACTGCTAGTGATCCAGAAGGATCATTATTCAAAGTTCAGCGTTCAACAGCAAATACAACCTCCTGGGCACACAGGAGAACAGTATCTCATAGTCTACCAGACTGTCTTTGGTGTTTGCAGAAAGATTTGACAGGCTGAAGTCACTATGCCATTAGTCACTTTGATCTGAAAACTTAATAATTTACATTCTTCAAATAAGAACTGATTGGTGTTTTTATAGCACTTTTTAAGTCCTGCTGAGAACTAGTCCATGTCTTTTTTTTTTTCCCCTTTTGACACAGAATAATCTTACAGACTGAAGAATATTCTGGATGGTGTAGTTTGTTGCTTCTCTACGCAATATGGAGTATCTGATGAAATGCCCTCAGGATTCTGGGCTTGTAGTCTCCTGACATAACTTTCTGGCCTGACTCAATTTGCAGTGCTCTTGCTCAGTGTGAAGATGCTCAGGAGAGCTGGAATGAATACTGCGTGCCCTGGCAAACTGACATAGCCATTTCTAACTTCATATTTGCAGGCAGTTTCCTAACAGCGGTAGAGCTCAGTTCCAAGCAATTTATAGCTACATTTATTCACATTTATGTCATGGGAAATATAGGTTTGGTTTTTGCAGTATGCTCTCACAAAATCCCAAAGAATGTAGTAGAAAGAGCTCACACATTTGAACAAGAGATGCAGTTTTAAAGTCTCTTTAGTTACAAACTCTGTATTTAGAGCTTGTGGCTTGATGAAGAATTTAATTCTCTTGCAAAGCGCTTTTCATTGTGTCTTGTGACTTTTTAATCTGGTTTCCACTTTCATTTAAAATTAAAGGGGACAAATATAATCATTTGATGTTCTGAGGCAAACTGCAATTAAAAGCTATTTTCCATTCTTATATTTAAGAGCGATTTGGAAGATGAGCAGCTGAAAGTTCTCAAGAAGGTAGTCAAGTCTTTTGAAAATGGGCTTGTATCCTTTTTGCCACTCTGTAGAATACTGAAGTTGTGGTGTGCTATGTATGGTAATATTCTGTCTTTTCAGCAAACCATTCTTGTTTGTACATGAAGAGCAGTGATAACCCAAGTCTGCTCTCATCAATGATCTTATGCACATACAGCTGAGGTTGTTAGGATAGCAGGATTCCTGGTTGCCTGATTCATTTGCTACAATATTAAATAGAGGAATCTCAGCTGTACAGTCTTTGAAGAAAAACGAAGACTATTCATCTGAAACTTCTGTATGTTTTCAGTAAAATTGAAGGGAGTAATTGGAAGTACTAGGGAAAATGTGGGCATTTGGAAAAATGTGATTAATTTTATACAGTTCAATTAATTGCCACAATGGTTTTAGCTTTCAGATTACTTCATAATTGAGTTGTGGCTAAGCACTTACAGTCAGTATTCATGAGTAAGTTGATTTGCAGTAACTTCTAAGTTCCAGTGACCAGTTCTGTTTTGATTTTGTGCCTCTAAATTTGATAATATATGTTTAGGTTCATATTCTCAAGCTTTATGGGACTAGATTAGGAGAGGATTTAAATACCACAATGCTGCTTCAGACAGAATTTAGATAGATAAATCTACCTAAATGATTTTTAAATCTACCTAAATGATGTTTCTGTCCTATATTTTTAGATACCCAGTTCTGAACTTCCAGTGAGTTCAGCTGAGAAAAAAGCTAAATGAGACCTGTGGGAGTTTCACTTCTGTAAAAGGAAGGCTGCTTCCAAAGATCAAAGTATAGACTCACGAGCTTCATTTTACTCTTCTAACTTTAAAAGCGCTGGCCTTGGTTGTTCTTGGTTCTGTCTTTGAAATATGATACAGTTTCCAAGCTCTTCATTTAATTCATAGCAAAACAAACATTTGGATTTCCTTAGCTTTAAATTAAAAGCCCATTAAGGATTTAACACAAATAATGGACATTCTTAACCTGTGTGCAGAAAAAGTGAATGAACAAGAAGCTTTTGTTGAGCCCGTATGTGAACTTATTAAGTTATGTGGGTAAGTATCTAAGCTTTTTTATAGATTTCAAACACTACTTGTTAACACATTCATACAGTTTCTAAAAGAACTCCTGTATTCCTATGGCACCTGCAATAGAAGGCATCTACTTCTGCAAGGTATCTATTATGTCACCCTTCCTTTTCATGAACAGTTTTTAGAGTCCATTTTCTACTGGCATGAAAGACACAATTCAGGAGCCAAGAATCAGTGGAGCCACATATTACATCATGCAAAACTTCCAGCTTACTTGGAAGTAAGACTCCCCAAGGTGCTTCATTGCCTAGAGTTAAGTGATTCTAGGGCTGCTGCCCTCAAGAGATTCAGCTGTTAAGTCTTGCTGAAGTGTATTTTGATGTTTCAAATGAGCTTTCTCAGTGAGTTTAAAAAACTGACACTTAAATAGCTGAAGGTAAGCTTTGGGAAATGACAGGCCATGTTGCAAAAGAGGAAATGTTATGGCAATTGGAGGATTTCAAGTTGCTTTACGAACATGTTTTATAAACTTTTTAACATCTTCATTGTCATGCTGTACTGCAAATTACTAGTAGAATAGAGTTCAGGTGTTACCATACTTGTCCATACCTGTCTCCTTCTTCTGAAGAACTTGTAAATTATAAGTTGCTCATGGACTTTTTTGTAACAAGTTAGTCAGCTATTACAATTGGTGAGAACAAGGAAGAGAAAAATTATGCCACGTAGTAAATGAGTGAGCTGGTATTCAAAAAGGGTTTTGCATAGCTTTCTTTCAGCTGTTGGCTTTAGTAAAAGTAACATTTTTGAGCTGAATCTTTTACTTCAAAAAGCAGATATACTGCTTTACTTTGCTGCCACACAGTGGAGAATGAGAAAGTACATCATGGGGGTTCATTTCCCTGTGTGTGTGTGGCAGAAACGTGGCAAAACTGGGAATGAGGATATAGAGTCAATGAAATGTAGTTGTGAGTAGTGTAGTGGTAGGTTTTTGTAGTAGTTCAGCAACTTTAGTTATGTTTATATATTTTGAATGATTGTGCCCTTGGGTTTTACTTTAATTGTTATATTATGGAAATTCCCCCACAATTCATTACTTAACATGACAAAGAGAAGCCTGAAACTAGGGGAGGAGCTGCAATTTAACAATTCCTTTTTGATACTAGAACTCTCATAGCAGAATTTTCCACTTTTTTTGTAGCTGCAGCTATTTGCCTGTCTTCCCTCTTATTTCAGTGTCTTTTTCTTCCCCCACCCTTCCCCACCCCACACATTTATTCTATTACTCGATCTCTCCTTTTCTCTGGCTGTGTTTACAGAGGTAAACCTACCGGAAAGCTGTTTCTGCACTGTGAGCAGCACAGACCTCAGCATGGTATTGTAATGTGTACTCTTAGGGAATTTTTAGCTCTTACATGTTTATGTCATATTTGAGTATTTTGCAAGTGTTATTGGATATTTCTTAATATCCTGTTTTTAAAAATGAATGTGTAATTGGACTATTTTGAGTCAGTTCATTGGTTTTATTTTCATCTATTTCTAGAGGTCTTGCCCGGGGATATGATCTTGTTTTCCATCTCTGCTTATATCTCTTCATAGTGAGACTCTGCAATAGCTTGATAGTACCTCTGTTCGAGGATTCCATCTTCCACACTTAACTGACATTTGTTTGTTCAAAGAATTTCTGATTATGCCAAATATGAATTATGGAAATGTTCTCTGTGAAATACCTACTACTGTTTGCCAAAATGAAGTTGCCAAATTGTGGAACTGGAGCTCTCAGTGTAGAAACAGCATGGCAGAGGATGTATTTGTCTTGCAAAAAGTGTCCATGTTTGCAAAAATGCTTGAAGGAAGGAGAGGAAAAAAAACCGTTGAGCTTTCCTGGTGGTATATTAAAATATTCTTCTGCAGTATTTTAAACATGCTTGTAATATTTCCTTATTTCATTTTGTAGTTTGCCATTTCAAAAAAAGAAATTATCAGATGAAGTAAACTATTCTGCGGCAGTTTCAAAATCCATTGCACAACTTGGTGAGTGTAGACTGAGATGCCATAACACCATCAATATATAAAATGAACTGAATTATTAGCACAATTTTAATTGCTTGTTACTTCTGTAGTAAGTGCACATCAATTATTTTGATTATTCAGTCAGTACTCTGTGCTTTTTAGATACCACTCTTATTTTGCTGTGCAGCTAACCCAGGGATTAGCTAGCAGTTACCTGTTTGCCAATGTCAGAAGCTATGTGAGATAACTTTATCAGTACAGTTGAAGAACTAAACTTGTTTGAATCAAACTTGTTTGATTGCCGTTTGCTCTGAGAAATGTGTGTATTACTACACTGAAGTCTGGGATAAGGGGAATATGTTCCTTTTAGTCTTTGAAACCAAATGGAATAAAGGTGTTAGAAACAGTAGCTCTTAAATTTCAGCTTCTGCCTTCAAAACCTGAAAGCCTGAGTTTTATCACCTACAAAGGCAAAGTACAGCAAGTCAGTGTAATGCTGTGCCTTACTAGGAGCAGCAGTTCCTGACCTTAACCTTTGGCTTGCATCTGAGCTTTAAGTTTCTATCCATTTTAAGAGACCTTTAGAGGAAAAAGTGTCAAACTCATCTATCAGTGTCACTGGATATCTAAGTACCACAGTATCTTCTTAAATGACCTTGCATGTGATATCTGTGATTTTCAAAGGAAGTATTGCAAGTCTTGTAGATCAAAAGCAGTATGTGAAGCAAAACTGACTTATCAACTCACCTGACGGTAAAGATTCCATCAATAGTATGGATGGCAAGGTATCCATCAGTAGTTCTAATAGTACAGGGTAGCACAATTAGCCTGTCACAAATGGAAGAAAGATTGTCCTTCAAATCGATGGCAAAGAAATCATTCTTAAGTCTTCATTTTCATATTCCCAGGTAGATAAAAGAATGGGCTGTGGGCTTCAGATAGTTCCAGATTCTCCTTAGTGTAGCCTGTCCAAAAAGAGATACTAAAATCTGAAATTTTATTTATATGATCTATGCTGGGCCCTGGTAGGTCTCATAGGGTTTCTTTTTATCCTGTGGAAAAGGAATGCTTTTCATGCTCCCATTGTGTCATATCATGTCTGCTTGAAGAGTGTCTGACATGATGACAGCAGCCTGGTGTAGTAGCTTTCTCCTGAGTACCTTCTGGAATAACATCCTGTCTCATAAGGATCTGTAGCCATAAAGCAGAGGAGGTCACTTTTGGATAAAACTTATGTTACTCCTCCAAGGCTACTTTGTCGTATTCAGTGTTGGGGTTTTGGTTCCTGGAGTATTTTATAATCCAACTGCTCGCAAAATAGAAAGATTTGTAGGGGGTATGGCCAGAGGAAACGCTAAGTACTGAAAATGGAATGATGGTGAATTTCTATAACAATTATTAACTTTGTACATTATTTTGTTTTTCTGTTTCTGGCAGGTTATTTGATGAGGGTGCCAAGTTCTCGAGTTAGAATACAAATCTGTAAGTGTATAATTAGCTTTTATAAGATGGAGCTGCCAAAAAAACTACTTCCAGGTAAAACACAGTGTTTTCAAGAAGAAATGTCAGAAGAAATCTGTGTTTGTAGCCAGCTGGTTTGAAATAGGTCCTTTAATTAGGTGATTTTTTTTCTATATAACCATAGTCACTCTTATATTAAGTATGTAGCATTGCTGAGTGTACAATTAATACATCTTTATAGACATACATACTCAAAGTATTAAATTATTTCATCAGTGTGCAATGAATTATTTATTACAGTTATACAACTAGGATTAAGTAGTATTCAGAAGATGTGAAGCAGTCACAAGCTCTCTGAAAAAATGGGTAATAGAGGAAAAAAGACTAATTAGGACCAGATTTATAAGAAAGGAAACATAATTTTCAGCTATGTATAGGTAGCAACTCTGGTTTCTTTTGTGTTGCTCATAAGGGAGCAACTTCTGAACCCATCTAATTTTAATCATGTCCTTATGGAAAAATTTCAGCATAGGCTCTGAATAAATTTTGGAACTTATCTGCAGAAAGAGGCTGGGTATGGCTGCAGATGAGCTCAGGCATGATCCTGTGCAGTATGGATATGTATGCAAACTAGTCAGAATGCACTACTATGTATTCCTTATGACGACGTCAGAGTCTGTTACAAGAAAAAGTCAGGCATGAATCCCCTCTTAGAGGGGCACATGATCAGTGCTGGAAGGCAATACTAGGTTGTAATGTGGCCAAGCTACAGGTGAGAATTGGTGCAGTGTGGATCCAGAGCGCAGCTGAGGTAGCTTGCTGGACTTCAGTATGCCCCCCTGCTGTGTTCCCATGGTGTAGCATTAGCTCCTGGGCCCTCTGGCTAGTCATCATTTATTTCTGGAGGCCTAAGGAAACTGTCACTGCAACAGCCCTCACAAGGTTCTGGAAGCATGGAAGCATTTAAATCTGTTCTTAACTTACAGGAGAAATTCCAAGTCCTACGAGCATGTAGGTGTGTGTGCCTATGTATGCATTTAGCTGTGTGTCTATGAATAGTTCAGTCAACATAATCGAATGTTAAAAGACAGAGAGATTTTATTTTTCTTCTCCAGATTTAGGAAATAATGTGCTATCTCATTTAAAAAAAAAAAAAAAAAAAAGTATTTCAGTCTGACTTTGTGAATCAAATTCTTCATCTCTAAGCATTCTTCATTTTATGTGTCTGTGCTATCCCCTCTTATTCACATATTTACGAGGTCAAGATGCCAAATCTGTTTGAACTTGTTAGTAAGTAAGCTTTTCAGTGCCTTTAATAATACTTGTTACCTTGCCACCTGTAATTTTTTCTGGTCTGCTCTGTTTTTTGAGATGTGGGAGGCTGCTATTGCTGGATGCGCTGGATGCTGGCATGCCAGACAGTGTTGCAGTGATATTCTGTTTTATCTACTGTACTTTTTCACAATTGCTAATATTTCCTTGGATCTTTTGAAACTTTCCCTCAGAAATTGAGCTGATATTTTCCTAGAGCAGTCCATAAGGTTCTCTTATTTATAAAATGATACCATTTAGAACCTATGAGAGTTTATACTTAATTAAAACAGCCTTTCACTGTGTGTGTTATTTGCGTTTTGTGTTATTTAATATATATATTTAAGCTATTTAAGATACACTTTACATTCACAAGTTAACATGTGTAAATGTAAATTCTCTGCGCTCCCCCTTCCTCTGTAATTCAGTGATAAAATATGGATTCCCATGTTCATGGGCAAAAGTAAAACCAGGGATGCATTAGGAATTCAGGCATGTAAATCAAAGTTTGGATTCACATGCTTTAAGTAATATGATAGTGGAAGGCATTAATTCTAGTGCAGAGACTAAAGAAAAGAACTAGGTCCTGCACCAGCACGTATGGCATGACCTGAAGAAGGAAGACCTCTCCCTGCACATCGTTTCGCTCTTGTCATTCTAGAAAGCAATTTATGTATTTATATAACATTTTAGTCTTCTGGAAGGTAAGTCTATTGAGTATGCTTTAGGCACTGTTAATACTCAGATATAATCAGCTCCTGTTGTTTTATTAGATTTTTTCCATTGATTTAAATCTAAAGAAATACGCCACTCCCATCTCAATCCTTTTTTGATAAAGGATGAATGATTCATGAAGTAACCAAAAATCTGAATTTACTGTGTTGTAATAAAACCTATTCTATGTGCAGGTTACCAGCCAACAAGTGCAAACTATAAGATTCAGATGGCTGAATTAGGAGGATTGGCAGAAACTCTTGTTTTATCTCTAGCATTAGTTGAAAATCAACTTACTGAGAAGTTGTGGGTTCTTAAAGCTCTTGAGCACCTCTCCAGCTCTGGTTAGTACAGATTGTTCTTTCAACAGTCTTACTATCCTTGATCATTTGTTCTCTAGAAGAATGACTGACCTACTTAGAATTAATTGTTCAGATTTTCATAATTTCAGGAGTAAATTGCAGACATATGATGAAGGCTCAAGCAGCCAGCAGACTCTGTTCGTATCTAAATGGCACTGATCCCTCAGGACAGCTGGTGTTCCGCTCATCAGAAATCTTATGGAATCTACTAGAAAATACCTCAAAAGAAGAAGTTGTTAATCAACTCACTAGCTTGGAATGTATACAGTAAGTACAGTGAAGCATTTTATGAATTACTGTTGTAATTTTGGAGAAACCTAAAGCACTGTTATTGTGTTGCATAATTATAAGTGGTGGTGGGGTGATGGAACAGGTTGCCCTGAGAAGGTGTGGGTGCCCCATCTCTGGAGGCATTCAAGGCCAAGTTGAATGGGATCCTGGGCAGCCTGATCAACCCTGGCTGGCAACCCTGCCTTTGGCAGGTGGTTGGAACTAGATAATCTTCAACCTAAGCCATTCCATGATTCTGTGGTAAAATTAGTAAGCAAGTCTGTATTATGGCATCTGAGGCTTTGTTTTAAATCTTCTGCTGAGGTAGGTAATGAGTTCTCAGTGAGTTACACTGTTTTTGCTACTTGGGATTGTATCATCTCTTCTCAATAACCACTCAACAACATCCACAATTGAGTAAGCATTATGTCTTTCAATTAAGTAAGTCATTATAGCACATACAATAGAAGATGCAATTTGAAATACAAATTGTAGGCAAGGTGCATATATATGCTTAAGGTGCATATATGCTTGTTTCTAGTGGTACACGTAAGAATTCATTTCATATTTTGTTGTTGTTTAACAATAAGACTTTGAAAAGTATGATGCTGAATGAGGATCCTTATATCTAGAGCTGTCTAAAATTAGAATAAGGAGAGAGTAAAATGCTTTTCACTTTATTGTAAGTGCACTGAAGGAAGCATTTGTGGACCGGCTCATAAAGGGTTTTCGCCATTCTGATCGTCAGCTAAGGAACGACCTCCTGGTGATTGCCACGTTAGTAGCTGAAAACTCTGCAGCATCTATGATTGTAAGTATTCATAATTGTATTTTTAAGGCTGGTAACTTTTCCTTTTCTATTGTATATTTAAATAGTTTTAAATATTTAAATAGTTTTCACTGTTAAGCTTCTGTTTGTTAAAATCTGTCTTCAGTGCTTAGCTCTTAGGTCTGCTAAACCAGAAATCTTTTTTCTTTCTGCTGCTCCTTCTATCTCAGAGAGATTACAAATCTGTATGTCATTAGTCTGGTATGCTAGCTAATATTTTTAATGTGCTCCTGTACATGTTCTTAGATGTGCCATTCTGTAGCAGTGAGTTTTGCACTATGTTTTATTTGTTGTCTGAAGATGCAAAAGTGCCAGCTGTATTCAGATAGCCCAAATTTAACCGAAGTACCTTAGCCTTGTAAGAAATGACCTCCAAAAATGACCTCAGATTAAATAAGATGCTGAAAAGAAAATTGACTAGATCCAGTTAATGAGACAGATAAATTCTCTCTAAAACCACATCATCTAAATGTAGCCCTAAATGCATTATCATGACTTGTCTAAAAAGTAGATGCGTCATTCTTTTGCTCCAGAATGTTTTCATGAGGAATCTGATAGAAGGCAACTTTTTATGGCTGTTGATATTCTTTTACTCTCTTGCTTTACAGTTGAGATTTAGGATGCTGGTATAAAAGCAGAATGACTAAATAATCAAATTACTGTCTGTGCTGATCAAACTGATCAACTGGCTGTTCAGGAATGGGTTATTTTCAGGGAATTCATACCTAAACCTCTGCAGAATTTTCTTATTTGACTATATTGCCAAATAGATTGTACAGTCTGTGTGAAGATTACAGATTCTTCATTCATTTTTTCCATTTTATCACTCACATTGAGGAATGTCTGTCATACTATCGCAGAAAGATATTTGATGTCTAAAGCATTCAAATTGTTTACATGGCTGCAGAAACAAGGCAGTTTTTTTCCTACAAGAAACAATAACAAAGACATGGCATTTTAAGTCCTTGTACTAAAAATAAATAGTGTGACCTCTGCTCACGCTGTGTGGTGGTGGAAGGCCCTGTGATGAGTTTGCCTGAGTGCTGAGGCCAACTTAATGTGTGTTTTGTTCAAGAGCAGTGTCCTACTAACTACATTTACCTGGTTTCCAATCATCTCAGAAACAGCTCTTTTGTCTCCAGTGTGTTCTGTGGACAACCCCTGTTGTCCATAGTGATACTGGACATGATTATCCTTCTGGTTGTCTAGTAGCACTATCATATTTGTAAATCTAAGTTGCTCATACATGCAGTTTTCGTAAGCTTAATTGTAAAGCACTGAAGCTGAAATTGTATGTTGTGATGACCTTGATGTACAAAGTTCTGTGTGCACAAATGCTTTTTGAAAGAGAAGAAAAAAAAAAAGCCTCAATCTCACAGCACTGAGAATGTTGTTCTCCTGTGTGGTAGATTACAATAGTGAGCACGTGTTTGGGACTTCCCCATACAAGTTCAGATTTGCTGGGTGAGACATGGCTTTAAAGAATTGTTAATAAGTATTGTACAGTGTCCAAATTGAACTCTTTCATAAAATTCTTTTTTTTGCTATAGAATACATTAAATTCTATGTTCTGAAGAAAAAGAGAAAACAAAATTAAATAATCAGTTTTAATTTTACAGCAATTTGTTTCAATTAATGTATTTATTTTTGAATGCCTACTAGGAAAGTGGATTTACAATGCTGTTAATAGTACTTGCAACGTTTACTGAAGGTAAGAAGTTTCATACTATGTAATCACAGTATTTTTTTTCTTTTAATTGAAATACTGTCAGAATGTATCTATTAACATATCGATTTCCTTCACAGCTAAAATTCCCAATCCTTTGTTAAAAGGTCTTAAACTTACCTACTCTTACGAAGACTTTGAGATGAAGAAGTTGTTGTTTAACATAATAGGGATCTTTTCTAAAGACCCGCATGCTGTACAGGCAAGTTCTAAGATAACAGAAGATACAATAAGCCAAAAAAGAAAATAAGTAAAAAATTCACGATTTCTATTTATCTGTTCATCTGACATAGTCCAGTAAACTGAAACAAACTGTTCTCTAAATCAAGAATTCAGAACTAGACACTATATGTAACTTCAAGCCAAGTTTGCTGTTTGAAAGCAGAGTGTGGTTTGTTTTAGAGAAGCTGCAAACCTAGGCAGTGCTAGAAAAATGAGCTGACAAGTGGCTGCAAAGCATTATTGAGATACAATTGAAGAGCATAATAAAGTTTTACAAACCACAGACTTTGGGAATGCTACAGAGTATAAACACAGCTTGTCTGTACTTGTACTGTTCCTGACATCCTTTCCCAATAAAAAATAATTTTTTTTTTAATGTAGGATAGATAAAGCAAACTATAAAGATTTTTCTTATTTGCATGTGAAACCTGTAGCTATCTCTTTCTCTTTTGAATCTGCAGCTTCTCAGTGAAAATGATGTGATGCCAGCTTTGTTGGATTATGTAAAACCACATAAAAAGCCTGGATTTCATGACTGGTCTGCTGCCCAATATGAGGAATTACAGCTTCATGCAATTGCTATTTTAGCTTCAGTGGCTCCCTTGTTAATTGATAAATATTTGTCTTGCCAAGCGAATACTCTTCTCCTTGTGTTTCTAGAGTGGTGTATAGGTCAAGGTCAGTAGACATTCATGGCTTTCATACCACAGTAACCTCAGCACACAACTCACCTGACCTTAATTTCTTTGGCAGAAAGGAAAAATGGAAAACTTTGAAGATGCCCCTTATTAACCTAATAAAGTAAAAATAAATAATAATAATAAAAAAAAAACCTAATAATTTTCAATGTTAATCAAAATCAAACTTTTTTTTTTGCATGTAGTATAGCCCTTCACAAAATGGCTTCCTAATAGGCTATTTCAATCAGGAAGCTTTTTTAGCAGTAAGATATTTGTTTGCTGGTTTTAGCTTACTTGCAATGGCAAGGCCTTCTTTTTACTTATGGAAAATTCTGGGAACGTTATTATTACGAACATACGTTGTCTGCCAATGAAAATACTCTTTATGTTTGCCCCGCAGATCCTTTCTTTGGTCAAGGTAACAGTTTCCATGGAACAGGTGGTCGTGGCAGCAAGCTTGCTCAAATGCGCTACAGTCTGAGAGTGCTGAAATCTGTTGTATCCCTTTATGATGATGCTGTGAGCCTTAATTTGTGTGACCAGGGAGCTATTAGCCAGCTACTGGGTAAAGCAAGGTTTTTATTGCTTACTGTATATTATTGCTTATTGTGTATTTCTTTAGACACTGAGAATTTTCATGCCTTTTCTTACAATGTGTTTTATTAGGTGTGTAGGTGTGTACCCTAAATACAAAAAGTAGTTTGATTTTTAATCAAATGAAAGCTGACCCTATTATTTCTGTCATTATACCGTGTTTGTTGCACATTATTTGTACTGTCTGTAGGAAATCCTGTTGTGAGTCTGTTTCTATATTGTGACTTTCCACAACTCTTAAGAATCAAGAGGAAAGAAAATCAAAACCAGTGTATTTTCAAGTAAATAACTTTATGAGGATTACAATCAGTATAAAACTTCATAATCACTGCTATTTAGATTTTTTTTTCAGTAACAATTCCTACTATCATATGTAGTTTTTAAGTTCTGATACTATTTTAAATTCTTACCTTGCAATAATCAGTTTTCCAGCTCTGAAAGAATTGCACTGAAAGGAACAAATAGGCAAGATTGTTTGGAGTTCAGAGTATGGTCTAATAGAAAGCCTAGAAACAACATATTTTATATCCTCAGCTGAAAATTAAACTCCTCTGAAAACAAAACCAAAAATAAAAATAAAAAACTGTGAAAACATTCAGATCTTAATGAGAGCAAAATTAGCAATATAACTCATGTATCAGATAGGTTTCTGACTTCCATATAGAACATGCACATGTATGAAATGTTTTCTTTTGTAGATATCCTGAAGTATACAGCAAACAAATTGGAACAAAAAGATGATGCCATTCTGCTGGAAATCCAGGCTAATATATTCTTTATTTTGTCTGTTCTCTGTGAAAATGATGTCCACAGGAAGGTTTGTATCCTTCTACCTCATCATGAACAGAAAATATTTTGTTTGTTTGTTTCTTAAATCAGTAGCAGATGCCAGTTGTACTTCATTGCTAGAAGGTCAGAGCTGATAACTGCTATGTGTGGCTGTTAGAAATAAAATCCCTCAGAAATCCATTAGCAAGTGTCTCACCTATATAGTTGCTAATTTACATGTTTTTAATAAAAGTATGAAAATGTGTTGAAGAATTGGATTATCAGTTAAGCAGTACTGAATAGTTCTTTTAAGTTTATTATGAGAAATTATGAGAAATATATCCCACTTTAAGTATGAGGCCAAATTTATTACAACATATACACTTTAAATGTAAAATTTTCTTTCTGATTTTCTGATGTGTAGCTACTTAGTAAATATTATTTCAGAAAAGTATTGCTTTAATTATTTTTAACAGGAACTCTTCAGCTATGAAGGAGTGGATTTACTTATCCCATTCATTCAGATGGATCCAAAGAAGCTGCACAGTGGACTGGGCCACAATCGTCTCCTTTTCAGTGCACTGGACTGCTTGTGGTTAGTAAAGAAGTGTTTTAGCAGTGGCAGTTGTTAAAAATAGCAGCTTATGGATTTTTCATCTGCAATATTATGGCCTTCTCTGCAATATAGGTCCTTCTTTCATTTAAAACATGTAAAAGTTAGTGTTGACTAATTAAAAAAGAATACAAAAATAACAGAGATATTTTGCATAAATTACTTAGACACAGTGAGATGGTCTAATTCCCTGTCCCTACACAGCAATACAACTCCCTGCACAGAATGGCCTCATTGAATCATAGAATGGCCTGGGTTGAAAAGGACCACAATGATCATGTAGTTTCAACTCCCCTTTCACAGGCAGGGTTGCCAACCACCAGACCAGGCTGCCCAGATCCACATCCAGCCTGGCCTTGAGTGCCTTCAGGGACCTGCTGACACTTCAATGCAGAGCTACTTTAAACTTTCCAGAAAATAAGTTTCTGGTTGGAGTCTCTAAATTACTTCAAAGAGTGAACACGAATTGATAATAGACCATTGTTAGCAAAAAATTGTGCAGGCATTAGAAGTGTTTGTGGACTGCCTATACTGCCTATACTGGACTAGAAATTTTTCAAAAATTGCTTTCAGAGATACAAAAGGATAATCAAAAGTTAACTTGTTTGAAGTCAGTGTTTGATAAATATACAGAAAGCTATTTAATATCATTGTCTGGGATAACAGACAGCTCAGTGATGCAGGCAAACCCTTCAGTCTCTGCATTAATCTGGAAATTATTGAAGACAGCAATAGCATTATGAGTGCTGCTTTCATGATTGGTTTAAGCTGGGAGAAGCCAGCCCTGTTGCCCAAAGAAAGTCTTCATCGTCTCACTCTCGTGATTCTACTGCAGGAATATTTACACAACTTTACAGTGAGCCAGATCAGTAATATCGTATAGCTTAATGTTAGCACTTTTACTGAGTTTTAGTTCAAATCTCTATTCTTATCCAGTTTGTAATGAACTTGCCAAATTTCTTGGCTGCTCTGAGGAAGGTGTGCCACCTACAGGAAAAGAAATTGTGGTAATATAGGTTCTATTTAATTACACAGTGTAAATGAAAAAACACAAGTGCAAGTATATGAAAATCATTTCTTCTACTCCCTAAAGGTATTAAGCTTATTGAATACTAAGTATTTTTATGTAATTCAGGAAAATAAATGGAATATTTGTAGAATGCTCTGAAACATAAAAATGTTCCTACATATTGAAATTATTTCTGTTGAAGGTCATGTGTCATTGGATGCTACATTGCAGAGGATTATTTTCTAGAACAACAGGGCATTTTTTTCCTTCTGGATTTGCTGGCAGTAGGTATTTTTATTATTTTTATTACAAAATGAAAGAGTAGTAAAACAACATGGAAAAATGTATTTTTAATGGTATCTCCTAAGACTGTTGTAGTAGTGACAAGAAGGCCAGTCTGCATAATTCCCTGAGATAGGAATGTAATCTGCACACCAGATATCTGCTCTGAAATGACTGGAAAGATATTCCGTGTATCTTTTTTGTTAAATAAGCAGTTGGCAGAGAGTCTTAAATTTACCGAGACTTTTTTTTTGCAAGGAAACTCAAGCTATGCTTTATTTTGAATGACATATCTGCTAGAAAAGCACCTCCATTCTTCATATTGAAGTTAGTAACAGGAGAGATAGTATACTCTTCAAGGCTTTAAAAGTTTTGGCGTTTAAAGTTATTTTGTACATGCAACATGACAGCTACAAGTAGTGTAATAGCTATCTTTATGGATCTGTGGCTTGTGTCTGGCACTGGCATTTCACTTCAAGCATTTCACAAAGCTGAAGGCCCTTTCCTGCTGCTCAAACGTCTGGCCACAGAAGAAAACAAATCTTCTATGGTACTGTCTCTGCCTTCTGAGTCTGTTTCTTATGAATATAAATCTTGGTAGTAGCACATCATCAAAAACATTAATTCATCTGCATGTGAGCCTGGAGGTACCTATTAAGTAATTTGACATACAGGCATCTCACATGATCCTACATAAATTCCCCTTCACGTTCCTTGATTTATGGAACATTGCATGGCAAGAACCCTGAGAGATTGAAAGTTTAGACACCTTTTTTGGGGGGCAAATATCTGTGATTAAAAGCTTCTACTTAATTACATATTACAGAATTCCTCTTTTTGTTTTTTAAATCTGAATGTAGATTAATTCTGTGCTATGACAAATTGAAACTTTTTTTTCCTTTTCTCTTCACCAAGTTAAAACAAAAAAACTTGTGCAATGTAATTCTTGGGATCCTCAGTGAGTTTTGTGACAATCCCAAAACCATTATTCACATCAGTGCTTGGCGGGGGGAGAAAGATCAAACAGCAGCTAAACTGCTAATACAGCTATGGAGGCAGGAGGAAATGGACTTGGGAGTCCAACGTGATCGATACGGAAGGATTGCTGGTAAGTTTTGTGATACATGTGAAACTGTTAGTGAAGCTGCTCACATAATAAATAAATAAATATAAAAATAAAATATTTGCTTTTGATGCCAGAATCCTGATGAGAGTAAACTGTAATATTTATACGTTTATGCTGCAGTTCTCAGCAAAGTCAGAATACTTCATTTATGTTTTATTGGAGTCTGGCCGCTAGATGGCACTTCCTACATTAACTGGGAAAAATGAACCGTTACAGGTACTTTAAACTGGTTTTCTAATGCTGGAAAATTACTTAATTTCTTCCAAAAATGACATTGTTTCTTCATATATTGTAAAAATAGAAAAGGAGAGTGCCGTGATACCACGAATCTCTAGTCAAGCTAATTAATATTTCGTGGACCAAATTTCTGGGCAGATTGTTGAAATGTTTTGTGTATTGTCCACAGTCTAAGACAGAACTACCTTCTTTTGGAGGAGGCACCACAGAAGAGATAATGTCAGTAGCTGCAAGCCAAAGATGTGTGTGGGTTTTGTTTTTTTTTTTCTCCATGACTAAAATAGCATTTCCTCTAATCTTAATAGCTTTGGGAACATACTGTCCATGCTGCCTCTTCAACTGTTGTTATATTTTGAAACGTTTAGATGTAAAGAGGCCTATTGCTGGCAGCTTCCAGAAAGAGCAAGAGGTCATCCCCATGCCTTCCAGCTGTCCCAGCTTTGCCATTGTGGAAATTTCAGAAAACATACGGGCAAAACTTTATTCATTACTGTGCAAACTAGGTAAGACAAATGAATTGCCTTCTCAGTGTCATATTTGTCATTAAATAAAACTTGTTCACTGGCAGTCGATCAAGTCTCTAATATTAAAAAAAAAAAAAAAAAAGGAACTTGAGATGATCAATAGTCTGTTATTATTAGATGCTTGCTCATCCTCTTCTAAGAAGCCTCTTTTGATGGGGATTGCAAGACTTCACCAATGTTTTGCTGCCCTTACCATTAGCAAGCTTTCAATAATCAAATTGAAAATTTCATCGAAATGTTCTGACACTTATTTTCCTGCACATAGTATCTTTCACGTATATTATCTCTTGTCATTAGAAGTACTGCATTCTGCATTCTTTACCCAGAGTTGTCATTTCCTAGAATAGCCTCTGATTATTTTCATCATTTTCTTGAACCTTTTCAATTGATTCACATTCTTCTTGATCTGTCATGTCCCAAAACTGAACATACTCCAGCAGAAGCCTCACAGCCTAATAGAACTATATTTCTCATCTTGTAAATAACCATACTGGCAATAATATAACAATTGCTATTGTCACAATGGCATTTCCTCACTTGATATGTGTGATCTTGTACAGCCTCCAGTCATCTAACATCTGGATCTGAACAGTTGACTTTTTCTATGAATTTTGCTTTTGTCCTTACTGAATTACATTCTGTGTTTTTAAAATAGTTTTTCAAACTGGTATTTTAATTTGCATTCTTTTCTTTGGCTTCAATTTGCTGCACTCTCTTCTAATTATGTGTTGTTTGCCCATTGAATATAAATAGTTATTACACCTTTGTCTAAAAACCTGATCCAAAGTAGATACTTGATAAGCCTTCTTGCTTGGCTGTACAGAATAGTAGGCAGAATGACACGGTCTTTTTTTATTACTTCATGCTGGATGTTAGTATTTCGACTGTTACCACTTAGCTACCCAAACTGGATTCAACCACTGTTCCTTGTCTTCTATTTTTTTCTTTTTAAAAATAGGCATTGTGTTTGTTCTTTTCAAGTCTGTCCTCAGTGGGTTCAAAGATAGTGAGTAATAGTTCTGAGTCTGCTTTCAACCAGTTCCCTGGCCACCCTAGGAACCAGCTGATTTCAAAATATCTTCAGTGTCTCTAACAAACTATGGCCAGTTCTTTCTCTGTTTTAACCCAACTTCTTATTAGTGTTAATAATGTTGATCTTGGATCATCACAGCTGAATTCTTCATTAAATCAAAAAGGCATGCGATTCTGTTCCAGCTTTCTTCTGTATTTATACATACCTTTCATGTTACTTATGTACTTTTTAAAGTCTCCTATGAAGTACTGAAATGATGTGGAAGTGGATAAGGCTAAGAATTCTTATAGTCTTTTTCTATCATCTTTTTCTTAGTGTAGTTATGCTTCATAGCAGCCTGTAACAGTGGTTCCAGTGTGAATTGATCTTTATTTATGAAATGTCTTAACTTCAAAACACGATGTAGTTATGCTATAATAAACAGATGCTGTGTTTCCAGTTATCACACAGATGGTATGTTGAAATCTAGAAATAGCTTTAATAGGCTATATAGAAATAGTTTTTTAAAACACTGAGTAGAATGAATGTTCAGCATACACAAAATATGAGGTATAGTCCCAGCAACCATACTACTCTTTCTTATTCCTTCCCACATATTGTTAAAAATACATTTTTAAGATGGATTCATTATGTTCATCTCAAGTCTATGAGGTGGAGATAATCTTCACTACTCAGCTTTGAAACAAGGTGTTGGAGATCCTGTGATACCATTCTCCTGTTAGATATTTCACAAACTCTGTGCTAAAATGCATCTGGAGAAATTGTGACCTGTACACTCAACTGTTCGTCTGCTTTAAAGCCAAATCAAAGTCCCACAAAAAAAAAAAAAAGGAAATAACCATAGCAAGTGCAGCGCTAACCTGGATTTACAAGCAATTGGAAGGTCACTGGATCTGCTCAAAAGGGAAGAGCTGGTATAAAGTGAATCTGTTATTAAGAAAAGAGGGATTTTATCACCTAAATCCTGCTCAGGATTGGAAGAGGGACTTACTGATGTACTTGTGATGAAGATTTTGCATATGACTATATATAAATAAGGTGGTGTCTTTTTTAGACTGTTATATTTTAAGATAAATTGATCAGACTGTCACTACTGAGATCATTAATATTCCTTTAGGTTTTGAAAATTTGCCTGGTTTGTCTTCTAAGGATTTTGTCACACTTGCTATCATACGGCGGTATATTGACTTTAAGGTGAGTGTTGTGGAAGGACGTATTTCTATTGAATATATTTTTACAAGAATAGCAAATTATCTCAGGATGTGAGAAAGAAATAGCCCTTCACAAGCTGTAATCTATGTCACAAGTCACCTGTTGTTCTATAAAATTGTAAACAGGTATTTGGCATCAAAGGAAATTATCCCACCTCCATCATTCCAGCGTTTCTTGGCTCTTTTGTATTTCTACAAATATTTGTGTCTGCATAGTGAACCAGGCTAGAAAACAATGCTAATTAAGAATAATTTGGGAAAAAAAAAAAAAAAGTAGTTTTAACTGCTTGCCAGCTCAAGAAATAGGAGTGGGGTAAGGAGCTGGGGAGGGACTGGACAGCTGGCCTGCCTCTTTGTGCAGGGTCAGCATATATACAGGTTTTGCTACTAAAGATCACAGTAAACATATTCTGATGAAGGCTTTTCTGTGCTTTCCCATCCTTGTAAACACTCAGTACCCACACTCAGTACCCATCCATATTGTCAAATGTAAAGTATCAGAGTGGTTTGCCTACAGGAAGCAAGAATCACAGATTCATAGAATGGGCTGGGTTGAAAAAGTCCACAATGCTCATCCAGTTTCAACCTCCTGCTGTGTGCAGGATCGCCAGCCATCAGACCAGGCTGCCCAGAGCCACATCCAGCCTGGCCTCCAGGGATGAATGCCTTCAGGGATGGGGCATCCAGAACCAACTTGGGCAATCTGTTCCAGTGCCTCACCACCCTCTGGGTGAAAAAATTCCTCCTAAGATCTAAACTAAACCTCCCTTTCTCAGTTTAAGACCATTCCCCCTTGTCCTATCACTATCCATCCTCATAGCTGTTCCCTCTCCTATTTATACACTCCCTTCATAACAAGTTTTGTAGGGGCCATCCTGCTTAAAAGATGCTTTAATTCAGCCCAATTTTCAGCTTAGGAAAGAAGTCTGTGAGAGCTGAGATGGTCAGAAGCTAGTGATACTTGACCTTTAGTTGATAATTCCAATTTCTGTTTACGTCTCATGTTACAGTTTACTCTGATAACATGCATAACTTGAGATTTTACAGAAAAAAAAAAAAAGCCATCAAGACTCTTCACTCTTGTAATTTGGTACCTTGTATTTCTGTTTCTTCTGTAGTTATCAGCATTCATGGTGACCAGTCTGTGTGGGGTGAATTTGGGGGTGGGAAGGGCTTAGGGGCAGATTACTCTGAATGAATTTGGTATAGCATTACTGAAGTTTAACCTCGCATAATGATGCTGAGAAGGTAAGCAACAATAAAGAAAAAAGAGATAAATATCAGCATGCTGTGTGTGTTCCATCTACAGGTTGGAGAAGTTTGGAGTGAAGTGTGTGCAGAACTAAGAGAAGAATTCAGACCTATTGGTTCAGATGAGGAAATACTGAAAGTTATTTCAGAAGTATCCGAAAATATTGGAAAAATGGTCACTGCTTACCAGACTGAACTGCTTGAAAATCGTCATCAGCAAGATATCCAAGAGGAGGAAAAAACATACACACAGGCAAGTCAAGGAGTATTTATGCAAGTGAAATCCAAAGAATTTTTTTGTCAACTTGATTAATGATTTTTGTATTATAAAATATTCAGAATCCTAAATGGATTCATTGCTTTAAGATACTTTAATATTTCAGCATAAAATTTAAATTAAATGCAATTAACCCCAGTTCTCTGTTTGTATATATTTTTTTTCACTATTTAAAGAGTAACATGAAAAAATAAAGTAGTGTTATCAGTGATGTATCAACAATGGTATAATGAGAAATGCTAATTATGTTACTGCAAGAGTTGCACCTGTCTGTAGCAGATAACAATTTGAAGTACTTATTGTTAACATATCTGTTTCTTAAAATGAAATGTAAGCCTTTGTTTTAAACTCCTCTGGCTGAATGCTCACAAAGCTTCATTACTTCATTAAGTGGGGCTTTGTTCTTCCTAGCATCCTGAAAGCAAGCAGCTATAAACATTGTCCAGCCTCGGTTATAAGGCAGGCATTAGGCATTGTCGCTTTTCTACTGTCTCATCCTCTTCTCCCTTCTGAGAAGTAAGACCAGTTGGAACAGATGTCTCAAATCTCATGCTAGTGTTTTGGAGGGAATGTCATGCATGCACTTCTGTCACCAGAAATGATGCCATCTCTGTTATTCATCATTTGAGAGTAAGCATATACAAAATCAGTCATGAAAGATCTGGGGCTCTTCCAACATGTGTTAGAAAACAAAGGGAAAAGTTACCTTGCAGCACAGAAGGTAAGCTTTGTGGGGTTTTTTGTTTTTAAGGGGGTGCGTACCTGAAGTTTTAAAGAACAAATATATTGCTACAGCACTGTCATCCAAATTCAAGTGAGTGGGATGAGCTAAGGTGACATAAAGGGACATAGATGTACTATCTTAACAGCACAAGCAAAGAATTCAGGAAAGCTCATGGAAAGAGGTTTGTGTTGTATTTTGTTAATCTGCTTTATATTACAGATTCGTGCTGTCCATAAGCAGAAAGAAATGGTAAACAAATCTTGGGAAAATTTCTTAATTCGGACATCAAACTATGAAGCACTGAAGGTAAAAAACAAAACAACAAAAAAATCTGGTGGAACAAAATGTGCATTCATGGTGTAGTTATAATAATTGGGAAGTTCCTAACGCTTTTCTTAACGAATGATGAGGTTATTCAAGCAGAAGATGCAGTAAATGTTATGTTCATACAAACATAGAGGAGTGAACTCTGAGCTGTATTGGCAGAGCAATATGATCTTTGATACTTCTACTGTTCTGATTATAGACACAGATTGGTGATGAGTAATAGATATGTGTATATTCATACGTACATGTATCTGTGTATATACACATCTGTATGCAGGACAGTAATATAACATTCTCAACCTGGATATTGGATAAGCATGCATTCTTCTCACTTTCATGCATAATGCCAAACTGGATGAAACAATCCACATGCTGTGAGGTAGGATTGCCATTCAAAAAGGTCTTGACAGTCTTGAAGGATGGACTGACTCAAGCTTCATGAAAATCAAGAAAATAAAATGCTGTATCTTACATTTGGGATGTATAAACGCTTTCGTGGCACAGTATAGCCTTGGGTCTGATTAGCTGTGTAAATATGTAGTATATGGGAATCCTGGGAGATGACATACTAAAAAAAGACAAGAATGTGCTCTTGTGGTGATAAAGACTAACAGCATATTAAGCTGCAGTCGGAAGATTAAAGCCAACGAGTTTCAGGAAATGATTATTTGCTTCTGGTCACTGTGAGGCCATGTCCCTTTATTCTGTTTTCAGGTCCTCAGTACACAAGGGTCACAAACCACAGGGAGAATACTTGAAATGAAAAGCCAACAGATTTTTACCTCCTTTGTTTTGTCATTTTGTTTGTGTATTTTCTGACAGGTACAAATAATATAATTCATTCTGATTAAAACAATTTCACCTTTTTTTTTCTAACTATCTTTAGAAAGCAAAAAGGCTTCAGGAAAAATCAATAGAGGCTTCCAAATCTAAATCAAAGACTCAAAATGGAGCAGTCCATTCTACTGATATTAAAGGCTTGGGCACAACAGTAAGTAATGCAAGATATAGGATGGAAAAATGTAGTTACGTGCATATATAAAGAAGACTTCTAATCAGCAATATTTTTCAGAAAGCATCTGGAAGATGTAGATACAAATATGAACGTTCTGAAAATTGCTAGTAGAGAGAAACACGTGGTTAGGTTTTATTTGGGGCTTCATGATAAAATAATTCATTTCTTTGGAGGGAGAGAATTTAACAAAAATATATCTTCATGATTCTGTAGTCAATATTGCAATAACTGTAGATAAAAGCAAGGAAGCAGGTAACCATTTTGCAGGTGTCTTTTAGGAAAATGAATGTATCACCAACACCAGATGAAATTCCTTGTCTGCATTCCTTAGAAGTATGGCAAATGTCAAATATTGCTGGCAATTTATTTTTGTGGAAAAATCTTGTTTTCTCCTCTTTGCCAAACATCTTCAGTATGTCTCTTTCAGATACAGGCAATTGTGTTCAGAGAAACAGGCTGTACTTTTTTTGAATTTTTAAGTGTTAATATATAGCAAAAAACTGTGGCTGATATTATGTACAAATCCAAATAACACTGCACAACAAACTTGTACTGTAATAAAGGCTTGGTGTTCTTTTCTTCTTTTAGTAAGATCAAACATGAAAGCAGAAAAGCAGAGTATATAAAGTTATAAAATCACTCTATCTTCTCCTTTGTATTGATGGAACAGTTTGTGACTTTAGTATAAATAACAATTTAAGTAGACCTGGAACATTTCAGCATGCATCTCTACCTTCTCAATAATATTTTCAAAAGACCAATTCTTGGTTTAAGTCTCATCTTCTTTTAAATACTAACTGCAATGCATTTATTTTGCTTTTCAGGTTGGATCTGGTCACTTAGTAACAGTTGGAAGTACACCTTCTCAGTTAGTCGAAGGACCACCAGCCCATAAAGGCCTGCCTCTTAAAAAGATACCTTTCTGTGAAGAAGCCTTAAAAAAGAACAAAAAGAGTTAAAACGCTGGACACAGTCAAGAAAGATTAGGTTCTTGTAGGATAAACAGCATTCTGAGCAGTGCTTTTAATATTTAAGTCAACTGTGTGTTTATTTTAGGTACAGATAAAACATTTCTTATAGCCCTGATAAATGGCATAGAACATCTTGAGAGTAAAGTTATATTTTTTATATTCATAACTAATGTAAACATGGGGATGACATACTAATAAAATATCCTATACAGCATGGTACAAACACATGCTGTGTCTAAAGGTTTTGTCTGCTAGTGGCTGGTTGCCCTGATCCACGATGAGCAGTTCTACTGTTTGGATTTCCATCTTCTGTTGATGCACACAATACTCTGCAGTTTGTGTCTCTTTCTTTGAGCAGGGTGATGAACCTTCATTTAAATAGACCCAATGTTTCATTTTCGTTATGTATCTGCACTGCATAAAGTATCCATGGTGTTTGTTCGAGTCCACTTTGTTTCCTGAATATGCCTTTGGCATCAGGACTTCAGCTAACGGCTCACTATCAAGTGTATCTGTGCCAGTGGTTTCTCTAGCTCTGTTAGGAAGACTAGCTGAAATGTTCTGCATTTTATAGGTTTCTCACAATTCTTTAACTGGTCATTCAACTCTATTTAATTCATGTGTTTATTACCCGTGTTCCCTCCAATAAGAAATCTACCCGTTTCACTGTAGCCATGCTGTGCTCACTAGATGGTTAAGCTCCCCTGATTAGTTTTGCTAGGCTGGATGTTTTCTTATGCTGTGAACTGTAGTCAAGCCAGTCTTGCACTTTCAAACCACTTCACTCATGAGTCTCCTCAGATGTGATGTTTCCAGCCATGACAGTGATGGACTGTATCCCCTTCCTTACCTGCATGAATGTGTACGTAAAGAACAGTCTTAGACAAATGATCCTTCTTAATGCACTGAAGTTCTGCAAATAACGTGTTCGTAGGCAAGGAAATGACTATTCTACAGACCTTGCTGCATAGAAAAATACTTTAATTAATCCATAGCTTAGACTACACAGTGATAAAATACATAGCTTAGGCTGCGTGGAACATTACAATGAACATAAACCTTCTCTTCAGCTTGACATCACTCTTTGCAATTCTTACAACTAAAGTTGATTGTACATAAACACAGTTTATAAAATATGCATGTGGACATTTTCTCCATTGCTTAATTTGTAAAAATATATTGGGTTTCCATCAAAAGTAACACTAAAAAAAAAAAAAGTTGAACCACACCGATTGATTTGCCTAAGCATCTACAGTAAATGTTGTACTTTTGTCCTCCTTCATTTTGACATTGCTTTGCTGAGGTATCTTTGTGTCCTCCCCTTTTGACCTAAACTGGGTTGGTGAAAGCAGACCTTGTAAGATTATGAGAGAAAGGCAGTTATTTTCCAAGCATTATGGCTTGGAGTGCTGGAATTAAATGATCTCCATTTCAGTTTGGAAGCCTAAAGTATTTGACTGGTTAATTAGGAAAGAAAAAAATATGTCTGTTGCAGAGGAAGAAGGAAGCTAATAGATCTAGGGCTGGATAATAAGATCTAAGGCAGTCACCTGTATGATCTCAATTCAGATTCGTCCCAAACCAGGATGACTAGAATCTATTGCTTTGGTCACTCAGTGACCATGAGCTCACATTACATGTCAGTGGTTTCAATGAGAAGAGCAGGGTTCAAATTGCTGGGGCTTTGTGCTTCCCTTCTCACATAGGGGTGATTCCCTGAAGTTGAGACTTAAGTCTGAAAACTAGAAAACTTTTAGTACTGTAACATCCTTCACGTGCACACAGTGATAAACAGAGCATGCAGCGTCTATTCACACTGTCCCATATATACCTGTCATTATTTACACCTCATAGAGAAATTCAGTGCTCTAACAACTTTTGACTCGTATGTTGTGAAATTAGCTACTGCTGAAGGATACAACTACATTTGACATGCAGAGACAAAAACCTGGGAATTAATATATTGCACTGTTGGAACAACCAAGGATGAGGATGAGACAGTAGTTTGCTTTAATGGTAGTACATAACAGACCAACATCATATCCTATAGTTACCTTCTAAAGTTCTATGTGAGTATGTGGAAGAATATCTGGGAGATACTAAATGTCTTCTGCCCATTCCATGGGATCTTGAGAGCACACAATCTACATACATATCCCAAAAGTTCTGGGCCAAATCATTGAAAAGTTCATTGTGCTTGGGCTTGGGGGATTCCTTTAGGAATAACATGAAGTCCCACAGAGCAATGACCGGATCCGCTACCTTGAGTTTCTTCATTTCCACCAGCCCTTGGGATGACACCTCCCAGCACTGGTGGTCAATCTGACCCAAGCTTGCAGGAGCTTCTTTCAGATAGTCTAGATTGGCATAAACCAGATTCAGTATCAGTACACAGCCCAACTGAAGATACCACCTTCTCTTCCATGCGAATTCCATACTCCAAGATGATACCTGAAAGAAAGTGTACAAAGTCACAGTGATTCTGCCATCGTGTATTCCATTCTCACCTGGCTTTGATGTTGCAACAGAGGAGGTTCTGGTTGGATACTGGGAAACATTTCTCCTCCAAAAGAGCGGAGAGGCACTGGAACAGGCTGCTCATGGAGGGGCTGGAGTCACCATGTAGATGTGGCACCAAAGGACGTGGTCAGTGGGCAAGGTGGGGATGGGCTGACGGTTGCACTAAATGATCTTAGTGGTTTTTACCAACCTTAATGATTCTATACTCTACACCCTAACGAATTATTTATGCTTTTTGGTTCCGCATAGTACTCAGTTCTTACAGAGAAGCACTCTGTTTCTAACCACGAAGAGATCCCAGTCAGGCTCCCACCCACCTAACTCCCTTCTCAAACCTCACTTGCTCGCTACACTTCAGCAGGCAGTACGACTATCGTACCACTCAGTACAAAACAAACGAGTTTCACGCAGGCAGTAACTAAAAAGCTGTAGTGGCAGTCATACTCACGACGTTCCTGTAGTGAGTTGAAGAACACCAGTGCTGAAACAACGGTAATCAGCCACCCGGAGAGAAGGCAAAACAATTCCCGACCGGGCAGCGGACGCCTGGCTGCTGCTGGGCGGCGGGGCTGAGCGCGGCGCGGGCAGAGCGGTGTCGGCGGAGCTGCGAGCAGCAGAGCAGCGGGCAGCGCACAGCGGGGCTGCGACCGGCACAGCTCTCCTCGCAGTCCCCTGCGCTCGGCGTTGTCACCTCGGGGAGGGCACGCGTGTGGGCAGGGCAGAGCGGGGCTGAGGGGGAAAACGGCGCAAGCGGGAGCGGATCTTTCCCCTGATCGGCAATATGAACGCCCTCCTCATTTACAAACCCGCCGTTCCTACCTGCAGTCCCGCCTGCCCGCCAGGACAGACATCAAAACAACAAAGCAACGAAGTGGTTCGCGGTACGGTATGCACCCAGTACTCCGGTTGACGTTTCGCAGAAGCTCCCTGCTTTGAGGCTGATGTTACACCATTATTACTTTTTTACATCCCTTGGCTTCCACAGGAGTTTTCCAAGCCGTTTTATGGCACTCAGCCCCTCCAGACCCTGAACACACACCAGTCCTGCAAGCTGCAGCTCGTGTCCCTCAGTTCCCAGCCAGGACCTCTGAGCAGGTGCTGAAAACTGAAGAGAAGCCAGATTGGTTACACTATGTAAAATAACTTCCACGTCCTGCTGGCAAAACAAGGTTAAAAACACTGCTTTATTTTACAGGAGCATCAGGGAGCCAAGGGCATTACAATTTATAAAAGCCTTTGAGCCCTTGTGATCTCAGTGCTCTGCTAGTGCAAGGCCAATCTCTGGGGCAAACTCCTTTCTCTGGGTCCTGGCGTTCCTCACTGGATAGCTCAGGCATTGCCACTCAGCCAGCCGGGTTTTTGATCCCAGTTCTGCATGTCTGACCCAGGGCCTAATTCAGCACAGATTGCTCATAACAGTTCTGCAGAGGAAGGTTATCACAGCTGTTTACAAGCAGATGATTGAATTTTTATACAGTTTTTTCTGACAAACTTTTCGGCACATATATTGCAATCCTCCCTTGGATCACCAAGGAATGAATTGGGGTATATTCTGAAACGCAGATCATGTTTGAGGGGCTGCCTCATATCTCGCCTGTGTGTTTTCTAGCTCTGCAAAGAAGACAATCTCTTTAAGGAAGGATCAGCCTTCTGCCTTCAAAGGCACTGGGGTTTGTTCAAAGTTTGTTAGAGCAAACCCAGCAGATGTAACTGCTTGTCTTTCTGTCCACAGCCCTGGGGCTTTTACTAGTGATGAGATTTCCTTGTCTGTTTATATAGAACACCAGAATCTGTCCTGTGTGATGTGAGGATCTGTGGATGTGAAGTGTTTCAGTGTTCTGTGGTGAGAGGAATGGCAAACAAAGCTGCTCTGCAGAGCCATGCTTGGAAGCCAAAGGCAAATATGTGCATGGAAAGCTCAGGTAGAAAACCAACTTCTTTTCACATGCAATCATTCTATCACAACAAGGGGCAAATAGTTTGTACACAAGTAGCATTCAGGCCACTGAAGACCAAGTGCTCTGTGTCACCTGTCTGGTGGCTGCCGTACAGAACGTGTCTTTTTATAAAGCTGTTCTGGTGCTCACAGCTGATGTCGAGGGTCTGAGGCACTGGCAGGATGTGGGCAGCCTCACAGCTTTGCTCCTTCTCTTCAACAGCTCTCGTTCAGCCTGTGAGTGAGGAGAGATCCTTGCTGAGATGTTGCCTGACAGAGTGCAGTCTGCCATACAGCAGGAGAGGGCTCCTGGAGCTGATCTGCACTCAAATTCCTTTATGGAATTCAAGTGTTACCCAGCAGCTCAAGAACACAATTCAAACTTTATTGTTCTATGCAGTACATTACCATCTATGAAAAATAATATAACAGAGTGATGCCTGAAGTACTCAGGCATGTAAAACTGGTAACGGTCTCAGTTCCAGAAGGTCCTTTTGCTATGGGAAGGCGTGGCTGATGGGAACATGGACCAACATGCAGTAAAATTGGTTCTATCTCACTTTCATAACATGCTTTGGTGGAGCAGAACGTGACAGGAACAGCCTGTTCTTGTAACTGAAAATGTACTGACTTCTGCCATGAAAACAATGTACACAGGACTTAAAGGAAGATACAGATCTGCTCTGAAACAGCAGTGCTCAGAATAACCAGCAATCTGCAGGAAGCCTGCCCAGCTTAGCAATGCAAACAGTTTCTACGCCTTGTTCCAAAGTGATGCCTGCACAGCCACACAGAAGAAAACATCCAGGAAACTGGAACACAGCTATCTTACATGGGAACTCCCTGTATATTTGAAAGAAGCTAAAGCTATGTTAGCGCCTTCACATTCTAGGGCAGCATTAATAACCAAGGAGCCTGCAGCACTAAGCAGGTTGTGCAAGGAACCTACCTTTAAGAAAGCTCAAGTTGGCTTTTGGTATTCAGTGTTTAACTTAAGAAAAGCTTTTCCTTTATGAAATATCAAATTTATTAGCCATGATTCAGCTTGCAGAGGAACAGCCAAAATTTGACAGGCAGTGTGCAGATTTGAAAGCAGTAAAATTAGAATGGCACATAAAGAAGCAAATAGGTGCTTTGCCACTACAGCAGTTCCTTCCTGCCGTTTAGTTCCCACTCCAGGCATGTAGGTGTGTGAGCACTGCCACAAACACAGTGGTTCCTTCTGCTCCAACTGCCACTGATCGCAGTCCTCAACCCCTTTTCTTCATCATACGTATTTATTTTTATCACTTCTTAATTACATCTCCTAATCTAGTTAATAAATTTGCCGTCATATTCCAGAACACAATTGTAGTAACCAAAATGTAAAGGGACTTTTTTTTTCCTTAGGACAAATTCTTCAAACAAAAAAATCAGCCCACTATTTCAAGTGCCTTCTCATCAGCAATGTTCTCTCAAGATTCTATTTATGCCAAATTTAGCTTGGAAAAGAGGAGGCTTCAGGGAGACCTCATTGTGTCCTTCCAGTACTTGAAGGGAGCATAGAAACAGGAGAGGGAACGGCTGTTTATGAGGGTGGATAGTGATAGGACAAGGGGGAATGGTCTTAAACTGAGACAGGGGAGGTTTGGGTTAGATTTAGGAGGAAGTTTTTCACAGAAAGGGTGGTGAGGCACTGGAACAGGTTGCCCAAGGAGGTTGTGGATGCCCCATCCCTGGAGGCATTCAAGGCCAGGCTGGATGTGGCTCTGGGCAGCCTGGTCTGCTGGTTGGTGACCCTGCACAAAGCACGAAGGTTGAAACTAAATGATCACTGTGGTCCTTTTCAACCCAGCCCATTCTATGAATCTATGATTCTATGAAATTGCTTTGATGAAATCTAAAAATTCACCTCTTTGGCCAAGAATGGTTCTGAAGGCTGACCTACACATTTCATTTTCCTCATGCCATCAGTTCTGTTTGACAGTCAGGCACAGAAGGATCATCCATGGGAGAGTGCCACCTGTTACACAGATGAGCCATGGATTTAAACTGTCAGAGATCAAAATTATCGGTTGTTAGCAATTGTGAAGGATGTCCCTGGAAGTATGCAGGGTGGAACTAAAGAAGCACAGTGAAGAAAGACATTGATTGCACTTACTAGGTAAGCACTGTCATTAAAATTTCTGTTTCACAGCAAGATCCAGGAACATAAATCTGTAGAATCCAACACATCCCAAAGCTACAGAAACCCTCAGATCTTAGGTGAAAGACCTTAAGGTAGGAGACCCTGTGTATCTGCATAGGAAAGCAGCTTTTTTTTCAGTTGGTGCCTCAATATGAATTAAATTTTGAGAAAATTTGTGCTGTATTCCTCACTCTGCAGGGGCTCAGGAGGAATGCAGTAGGTGCAGCGCACACCAGGTGTAAACTCACCAACATCAGCACAGTGTTTCACACAGTTAGTCCTAGGAGACTGAAAAAAGTCAAAGGTAACTTTCTGTGATTTTAAGCTACCCAACTGACAGCCAAAACATTTCCTCCAAAATTCTTCCAACGTCCATAGTTGTCTAGCACAAGTTTTGAACTGCTGCACTGCAGCTCAGTCCTCTCATCACTGCAGTTGAGGCATCTCCATCTAGTGGCACTTCGTAGTACTGAAGAGTTTGTCCCCAGCAGTGATAAAATCTCTTCCTTTATTAATAAGAAGAATAACCACATTGACAGAAATAATACAACAATTCTGGGGAGCATCTGAACTTTGGATATGCTGATACAGTTACTTCATTCAACCTTTATTTCCATTTATGGCATTGTAAGGAAGCATTTTCTGCATGTTTGTAAAGGCAAGGGAAGAGAATCAACCTGTATTATTTAATTACTTCAGTTCTACTTTAAAATAAAGCTGTGACACTACAATGATTTCGGTTCACTTCCAAATATTTCCATGCATGTTTCTTTTTCCTTAGACTGTGAAAAACTGCATATAAAGTACAAATACTAAATACGGTGGCTGAAAGCCTTAAAATTCTCATGGAAAGAAGTTTTATGGTTTCTTGTTGCTAATGCTGGCGACACAATGCACTGCCTTGTTATTTATATCAAGCCAGAAAAGAAACGGAGGACTGTGATTTGATGTAGCAGAACTTTTGTGAGTTTCATGCTATCATATCCAGGATTTGAAGAACGCAGCAAGAACAGAAATAGCAGGAACTAAAGCTTTATTGAGCATGGAACTCAGAATATGTATTGACTACATATTAAATCATTTTGGAAACACTAACAGTCTTTCGTATGGCTGATTTACAGATATTTGTGTGCCTACACATCTGCACACCCTGACACAAACGGGATTCAATGACTATCAAGAATTGAGTCACCCTCCGCAACACTGATGAGCAGCATCTGAAGTATCTCATGTGTGTGCTCATGTACTTAGCTGTATAGAAGGTCCCAGAAAGTGCACAATGGCACGTTTCAAAGGAAATGTTATTTAACTTCTTGATGGTAGGAATTTGTTGATGTGACCTTTGCTCAGTGTCAAAACAAATCCAGAATTGAAGTCAATGCATTTAATACCTTCTATTCGCAATATATGTAGATCAGGTTTTTTTTAATTTCAGGTTTTTCAGGTTGAGCTGTTAATTGATGACATGACTGAATTAATCCTAGTTAGCAGCCCTGCTATCATGCCTGGACTACTCTACATATCAGCCCATTATTGGGTTTGACCTCCTGCTGTGTGTTAGGGAAATTCAACACATGGAAGATATGGTCTGTTAGGTTGACAAGCTACAGACTCCATCACTCTCAGTAGTCATAATCAAAGAATTATGAATCATTTGAGTTGGAAGGAACCCTCTCCTGTATGAACAGGGACACCTACAG